TTAGATGACTTTTTTGATTAGACGCGTATTTCGGAAGGAAATCGTGTTTACTTGACACGCATTTCATTCCAAAAACTCTTTTCGCACACTGTATATGCGAGATAAGACATTTTTTCTCTTATATATATATTCTCAGTAATTAGTGCGAAGTTTTGAATAAATCTGCTTTCTATATAAAATAATGCCAGACACTCAATCAAAAATCGATTTGTTGCAAGAATTAAATTCTCAACTCATTGCCACAGTTGCTGAACTTAGAAAGGAGAATGCTGACGTCAAGGCTGAGAATACAAAGTTAAAACAAGATAAAGAAGAAATCGAAGCCAGAATCGTGGGGTTAGAACAGACCACCAAAGAAAATGCTGAACTTAAGGCCAGAGTCGCGAAATTGGAACAGACTGCAGAAGAAAATGCCGAGCTTAAGGCTAGGGTCGCGAAATTGGAACAGAAGCAGTCACAAAACATATTTCTTCCGATACCCATCCATCCAACTCCTTGCCCATATCATCAGAAGATAAGGAGGTCGATGAATTCCTGGGTTCGAAGTATAAGGAAAAGGTTAGTAAGGAGATAAGAGAAAGGAACAGAGAGAAAAGGCTTCAGTGCAAATCAGCTGGAAACCAAGCCCAAGACTTATTGCAATTTTATGAAATTACATCCAGAGATATGGAGTCACGACCCCAAATTAATCATAATACAAAAACCGTTCCCTCAGGGAATGATCAAAGTCATGTGATTTTAACAGAGTCGCCTTCGTTGCAAACTGAAGTGTCTGAATTAGAACAGGACAATGAAATTGACAAAAACCAAATTGTTGAACAAGGTTTAATACAAGAATTGCATTTACCTACTAAAGAAAACGACAGCTTTATCAAAATTGGCAACTCTGGCAACAAATCAGGGAATATGTTTTCGCTCAATGATTGTTTCTTTTAAAACTTCTGCCCAACATTTGTCTCATTTATTTAAAGCAGCAATCAAATCAAGACAACAGGAAATCTTAAACTGGTATTATTATTCTTTTGAATTCGAAAATAAGGTTTGTGATATTACAGCTGATGGTAAAACCAAAGATAAAACGGCTAGAACAATGATTTACAAAAAAATGAAACTTTTTCTTCCTAATATCACACAAGATAACTTGTGCAAAAAAACTCTTAGAGCTAGAAAGCTTCTTATGTTATTCGGAAAAGATGGAGTTGGAATAGATAAAATTAAGCAAGTCACTTATAGCATGAATGAGACTTCAAGACTGACTAATGTCCAAATCCAAAATATTATAAATCAAGTGACTTAAAAACCGTTCCCTCAGGGAATGATCAGATTAATGCAGAGGTAAGTGCTTCATCAAATGCACTTTCTCTGAAAGATAATATATTGCCAGAAAATAAGATTTCATCTATAGATCACGCAAGTGTATTAGCTCATGATCATAATTATTTTTGTAATAAAATATTAGGTCAGTATCCTGATATATATAGAGAATTTAGTAGCAAAAATTTGATTATTATGGAAGTCATTATGCAAGTCAAGTCATAAGGGTGAGAAGAGTATAAGAGGTAGATGTGAAGCTGGGTCCTATTTTATTAAATGTGGGGAGTATGAAATTGAGATCACAGCATAATTAAATAATTACATAAACCTGGACAAGTGGATAATGATATTTTTTTTCTATTGTGGAACAATGAGGCTCTGCCTCTGACAGCTACATGATTTTGAATTGACTTGCATTAATATATAATAATAACATGTCTTCTGATACTACCTTCAGCAAGATATTAACTGATGACTATTGCAAATGGCATGCTAATTTAGTTGATTTACCAAGTTCTCAGGCAGACAAAATTTGTTCTAAATTATATAAAGCATATATGGAAGAGACTGGACTTGATCCTTGGATAAAGTCTGAAACTTCTGAATCCCCACAAAGCAAAAATGCTGATAATCATATCATACAAGACATTTCGTTGGAAACTCAAGTAATAGCACCAAACAAAAATCGCCTTTATCAGTACGCCATTGAACATGGAATAAATCCCAAAGAATTTTCGAATCATTACAGAGGCTGGGATAAATAGATGGGCCATGGGATGTTTTCATGGGGATTTGGAAAGAGATATACGTTTCTATTGGTGGAATAGAAAGAAAAGAAGACCCTAGAAAATATTGTGAATTTTTAACAGATCGGGAGAGGCTGGTTGGTGAAGAGTTATTCGCAGTATACTAAAAAGCGGTTTAAGTACTGCATGGTTAGATGATCTGATGAAAGAATGGGAAGAAATCCATACTCAATCGTACAAATTTTCAGCCGGGCATAACCAGATCAGGAGGTCTTCTATTTTTAATAACTGGTGCAAGAAGAAGCGAAAAAACAATAAATGGGTATATGTGAAAAAAGTGATCGGTCACACAATGCCATGTACTACACTCGGGATATGTCGCACCACGTGCGGTTTTTTCTAGACTCTTCTATCGCGCACAGACTAAATGTTTTATTTTACATGTATTGCAGAGCAATGAGGCTTACGCCTAACGCATCGTTTTATTATTACGAAACGAAATACATTGCCTATAGTAAGACCCTTTTTTCTCTCAAGCTCGAAAAAAGATAATACATTGATAACTGCAATAATCTGGCTTCGAACATATATGTGAGAAGGCGGGAAATTTGCGAAATACATATTGCAGTTACATGGTGCAAAAGAATCTAGTATTTGTTATGAGAATGTGGTAGACATCTTGTGGATGATTTTCTTCTTCTGGAAATAATTAGATAATCTACAGGCGTAGAACGAAATGCACGAAGAGAAAAACAACATTATTATATGGTTACTCAAAATTCTTCAATTGACATAGTATCAGGATGTAAGTATCAGAGAGAGCTCTCCTAGCGTTGGCGTATTGGTTGTATCAGAGTCGGTGGCGGTAGTTGTAGCTGGAATAATTTTCGTATGATTCCAACAGTTTCGGATTGTTTCTGGTGTGATTTCATCCCAGCTTCTAATAATAAAACGTATTGCTTGCAATACATCCATTTTTAAACTTTTTATGTCGTTTCCTTTTTTATTTAGTATTTTTCTATTATCGAGGCACAGTAATTTCTTAATGTAACACTATCGATATCACGTGAAGTCACGGGCATGCATTTAGAGAGGGTACTATAGTGGGGATTCAAAAAGACTGTGCAGTATAAAATATGGAGGTGTGCATTTACGTCTAATTCCCAAGCTCAGGAGTGAGAAGTAGTGTGCATTTATGGAGGGTTCACTGTATATGACTCACAGAAAAAGGAGGCTTTCATCTCTAAGCCAAATGAAATGACGGAGGTAGCTAAAATCATTGACTTGTATAATTACTAATCCTCCGGTCACTTTTCCGACGATTTTGTTATACGCGCGCGCAGAGCGCTCCTGAGAAGCAGATGATAAATTACCAAAATCATGTGAATACTGAGGACACGTAAGTGTCTTGGCTTCGCAAGTCTTTCTTGCTTGAAAAACGCTAAGATTCTTTCACAAATATCTTCTGGAATGTGTATAAGCACCTTTTTAGCTTGTTCAGATGTCACGTCTAATAACCACGCTATATGAATTCTACTCTTCGGATTACATCCATGGCGTTTTCACTTACTACAATTTCTGTTGCTACTTCTGATCTTTGATTATTCTTCGAAATAGCGAAGCTTCGAGACTCTGCCTCTCTTTTTCAGTGGAAGGTACTTCAGGGGGCAAATCAAATCCGATAGCTTTGGAAACGTTCTAATGGCTGAGATAACCAAAATTGCAAAGCTAGAAGCCTTGTTTGACCATATATCACCTTCTATTGGTGAAGCACATCAACCGATTAGATATAATGTAACCATTGTTTTACGCATGTGATTCATTGTATCATGTGAACGAAACCTAGTTCTATATATATTTATTGGGTACGGAGTTTGTTTCCGAAGTTTTTCCCCACGATGAAAAAACAAAAGAAACAAAAGAAAGGAAAAGAACAACTTGACGAACGAATAATCGTCAAACAAGAGAATCAATATCATCACTACATTCCACAATTCCTTCTCATGAATTTTGCTATTAACAATTATGGGAGGATATTCGTGGGCAATGACAAGTTATACAAAGAGAAAAAGCATAAGCGAAACTTCAAAGACTGGAATAAGAAAGAAGCACTTCTCCAAACTTACGATAAGAAGAATGGTCAAATAATTAATTCTCTGGTTAGAGAAATTTATGGATATATGAACATGTACAAAGATCTCGATAATGAAGATGTGATGTATGTGGAAAAAAAACTCTCAACACTTGAAGGGAAAGCATCACGAATGGTCAGAGATATTATCAATGCATCTCAAACGGAAAACGAAATCGTCTTAATCAGGAAACATCTTGAGAATCTACGCAAATTTCTCTTCATTATGAACTATCGAAATCGTCAGAGATGGTCTCAATTTGCCGATGAAAAATTTGATAGCACCACTTGGGCTTTGTTGCAAAAGCACATGGAAGAACATAAATTAAAAAAAGCGCATGAAGTATGGTTACAGAATATCCGCGGAATACTAGAGACCCCCCACAATGATATTAAAGACGACTCTCGAATCTTTTCAGTAGATAGGATGGATTATCAACTACGCATGGTTGACTGTTTTCTCGTAATATGGCAAGCCGGGGATAATGACGAGTTCATAATAACCAATAACGGATTCGGAATCTTTGAGGGGTTTACGGGGATTGGGCCTACTGGTCCATTTCAATTTGCTTACCATTGGTTTTACGTTATTTCTCCAAAGCTGGTGTTGGTCCTCTGTAATCATGGATTACGATCTGAGTTCATAGAATCAACGTTCAGCAAGTCAATATTGGCAGATGCTCCTCATCCACTCGCAAAAGTAAAGTATGCGCCAATTAGTGAATCCAGTCGTAGCACTGGCGGAACTACATTTGACGAACGGCTAAGGTGCATGGGTTTGGAAAGAACAGAGAATGACACCCTCACTTTTCCCTTTGCCAAAATTTCTTCGGATACTGTTAGCCTTGTAAACTCTATCTTGCTCAATGAGACTAAACCAGACCTGATTTTGACTTTCCTTTCTCCATCATATCTCTATAAGACAATTGCCAAATACCATAAACACAAGGAAGTTGGTTTGCATGAACGCGACTTCACGGGTTTGAAAAGAATGTTGTTTAAAGAATTAAACAAGACTCATGAGGAAGACTTGAATCTACGGAAGAATATCCCAGACGGCCGCATAAATACTTGGACTGTGCGCGAGATAGATTCAAACAGATGAGTAAGATATACATGTCATAGTTCTCTATCGTATTTTGGTGAACTGTATAGTATTTAAATATGGGCAAATGACTTTCGTGCACTCCCGCACGGTTGCGCATCCCCTAAATTATTACGATAATAAAGTTTAAAGCAACCAATCAGCGATTCATGTTAACGCTCACCATATAAACTATCCTTACTGGCTAGTGATATATTTGGATAAGTGTATAAGTTACAAAAATACTACCTTATTGTAAGTGTCAATTATGCATTAGGCTGCTAGCTAACATCCTAATGGTTTGTATTTGTTTGACATTATTCGCGCGTCTAAGCCATCCTAAGATACGCCGGAAACTACGGTATTCCGCTAATAGCTTCACTCGCGTTTCGAAAAACAACCCCCCGCTTTTGGGAATGTGGACAACGTACGTCCACATATCTCGTGTTATAAGCCCTGTTCTCAACGTATAGTTTACCTTATTCTCTGTTACTGTAATTGTTAGAATCAGTTTCTATCGTTTGTAAACGGGGATTATTTATTATGTATTATGGACATTATAAGTTACCAACATCAATCGGTGGAACTTAGGCCCGTCAAGTATTAAAACTAGTTAGTAATTGTGGAGTGGAGAAGCGTCCGGAAACAATCAAATCGTCACACAGGCAAATCTAGAGAAGTGGCTCTTCGAGGCTTGCTAAGTCCCTCCTACGATTAGTAGTAATACTCGCTTCGCGAGAAACAAAAATTGAATTCTGTCACAAGATAGGTATACAAAAGCCTTCAAGTATATTAATCTTTATAATCGATTAAGTTATTTAGAATGGATCCTTACACTCCCGAAGAATGGGCTGAATATTGCTGGATGCCACAAGTTCGTACTAACGAAACTCCTGGAGAGTGGAAACAACGAATTTGATCTCGTTAGTATTTTAAAGAAAATGATCTTTTACCTATCGAGAGTAAAAAATATTTTAATGCAAGAAAATTGATACGCTTTCAAGATGGTACATCACACGCTCCTACGATAGGAAATGCCATCTGTTTGTAACGAATTAGTATACACCGGAAAAAACATTAAAACTGAAAAATCAGCATGTACTGGTAATAAATATTGCGAACTTAAGTACATAAACCCCCGAATCTAATCGTACATTCGACGATATGCGTACGTGCCTTGCACTATTATGAGCTATGGATAGCAAACGCAATCAAAAGACTTAAACGTGCAAGGGAAGTCGGGAAAGGATGCGAGCATCCAACATAATACTATTTTGTCGATAACACGAGTAGCTTTTTCACAAAACAATACTCGTAAAGACGTGATAATAATAAGGCAGTACATCACGTTATTGACAAAATAGTTTCTATGGAGGATGTTGAATTTACTAAAGTTGCCCCATCTTTGAAAGGCAGAGAAGCTTCTTCAACTACTCCAAACATTGAAGAAATCAAAAAGTGGGGGCTAGCTGATGTGTTATAAGTTTTTTACAAAAAAAAAAAGAAAACTTTGCCTGAAAAATGAAGATATTGAAATAATCAGAATGGATAAGATAAATGGTGAAGCATTTTTTTATCCTAACTGAAAAAGATCTTCTAAATAAACCCTATATATATAATCTTGCTGCAGGCTCAACAAAAGCAATCACTTGTTTGATTAAAACTTTTAAAGGTGGAGATGAACAAATAATATCCCGTTGATTATTGCTATTACAACCGATGCTCATATTTGGAATAGTTCTGATTTTTTATTTTATAGTAACACTAAGCATAAGTATGAGGAATCATTAACCATATTGTAAA